ATTTTGTCGGCCATGAGACTGTTGGTGACCCCTTGTCAAGCCAATATAGACAAAGCCCTGCCCGCACTAACTTATTCACTCATTGGTTGCACTCTTCCGAGGCTCCGTTGGCCACCAGCAACATTAATGACACCAGTAGTAACTTCAATGGCAGACGCAACTCGAATGGTTCCCAGACTTCCAGCCCACTACTACTCTCACCGAATTCTCAGCCGGTTGATCTCCCTTGTCCAGTATGCCGCCGCGTTTGGCGCTTACATGGAGCTCCGGGCAAGCTGATCCCACGACTCCCAGTCTCCTGCCTCCACCTGGTTCTACTTGACTATTTGCACTGCTGGCAGCAGACGCTATCCATCAGGTTTTCTCAAGCAATTGCAACTGATGTGGACACTACAGATGATGAGAATAGTGATAGCATTTCTCCTTCTATTTCCCTGCTAGAGGTCGACCTCTCTGATGCTCCTGCGGCATCACCTCTTCCATCCTCGCCAATACTTGGCGCAGATGATTCGGAAGCTGATCTTGATACCTCTTTTGGCTCCGAGCGATATCAATCATCAACTAATTCTCCACTTCTTCGTACCTTCTGGACTCGCCGATTCCGTATCGCCTCTCCCTACCACTCCCGGCCTCCCTCACTTGAGGGCAAAGTATCACTGGGTCGATCACTCGATTCTCCGCAGCCTGTAGCTGTTGGAGTCTTGGGACACCCATTCAAGTTTTTAAAAAATTCATCTACCGGGCCCTCAAATTCAGTCATCTCTCGTGGGGATGTAACCCTATCCAGCCAACAGCCTTGTCTCTCTGAGGTGCTACTCAACCACCAGCTAGATCTGCTGAATAGCTTGACACAGGGCTCCCTGCGGCATGAACACGAGCCAACCTACCTGTCCGCTTGTCTTCTTCGTATTGCTGACATTTTTCATCAGCATCTCAAACGTCTGGACGCTCGACTTGACCATCCAGACCTTGAGTGGCGGCATTTCTCCAGCGGACAGCAAGTGCTGCATAGACTTCCTTCGCCTCCGCCACCTGAGACCGATGGGGAAATAAATTCTCAACCCAGGACATCACTTAACGGCCTTGAAGGTAAACTATCGCTTTTTCTTTTTAATCTTTTTACTTTAAGTTGCTTAATACAATCTTGCAAGCCTTTGAAGTATCATTTGCCAAATCAGAGTTCTATCTTTTCACCTGAATGGCTGTCTACTTTTTTCGTTTATAAGTAGAGTATCAAGACTACCAATAAATCAGATATATGATATGTATTCATTATATTTTGTCTAAGATGATGAAAGTCTGGCAGTTGAATTTTCCCACAATACTATCAGTAGAGCTAACGCTCCCATTGAATTTTACATACTCTTGCTTTTCCAAAAGGTGTTCTCATCCAGGGCGGACTGCAGTTTCAACCTAGCCTAGGGCTTATTAACACGCCCAGCGAGACTTTAACCACGACAGTTCAGTGTTTAATCTCGACACGATAACCACTATGCCACACTGGCACGAGTGCCCTTGGGTTACAGAGCAGATACGAATTTCAAGTAAGGCCGGGCATTTTCCTATATCATATTCCTTGTAGGTATTGTCGATGAAGCAAAATTATAGGTATGAAAACAAAGATGGTGTGGCCTTTTGTGTGGTCGCAGTCTCCTTTCGTTGTATAGAAGTTGTTTAACCTTGTTTTCG